CAATTTTCCCAGCAGAGGAAAAAAATATTCTTTTGTGGCTTCTTTTTGAAAAAAAATGTCTCAGGACTTATCAATCTTATCTAAGCAAAATTTTTCTCACAAGGGGCTGTTATTCATTAAGTTATTTTATTGTTTATCACCCTCATGATTAATTTTGTAGTAAGCCAAAATTCCCACCATAGCCGCGTTATCCGTGCAGTATTTTTTGGGGGGAACCAAAAATCTAACTGACGGATACTTTTGGCGGAGGAAACTGGCCAAGTAACCAACGATAAATTGGTTGGCCACCACTCCCCCGCCGCAAACTACACTAGCGAACTTTTTCTGCTCCAAGGCTTTTGCTACTTTATTAACTAGCATTTTTGCTAGCGTATATTGTAAAGAGCAAGCCAAGTTGGGAACATTTAATTTTTCCCCTTCTCTTTCAATTAGCCGCCGCACCGCACTTTTCAGACCACTAAAACTAAAATCTAAACTGTTATCGTCTTTGGGTAAAGGCAATTGATAAGTGTCTTTGCCGGTTAAGGCCAATTGTTCGATAATTGGTCCTCCGGGATAAGAATATCCTAATAAAATTGCTGATTTGTCTAAGCACTCGCCAATTGCGTCATCACCAGTTTCTCCCAGCAAAGAAAAATTATCATGCCTATTTAATTGGTAAAGTTGCGTGTGTCCCCCACTAATAATCAGAGCCAAGTTGGGAAATTCCCACTCGGTTTTTTCTTCCAGCAGGCTCGCATAAACGTGGGCTTCCAGGTGATTACACTTAATTAATGGCTTATTTAAATAAAAAGCTAAGGTTTCGGCTACTATTTTGCCAACTTGGAGGCAAATAATCAAGCCCGGTTTCTCCGTATAGGCAATATAATCAATATTTTCCGGAGTAATTTGGGCCGTTGCTAAGGCTTGCTTCAAAACTTCTTGGATATTGGCTAAATGTAATTTCGCTGCTAAACTGGGCATCACCCCGCCGTATTTTTCTTGTTCTAATATTTGAGAAACAGTAATATTACTACGAACTTTCTTGTTTTGTAAAACGGCAATACTAGTTTCGTCACAACTGGTTTCAATAGCCAAAATAAGCACGATATTTTAGGTTTTTACTACGAAGTTGGAAATTAGTTATTTTTTTGGTAATTTTTAAAACTCTAATTCTTTTGTCATCCAAGTCTGGTTGAGAATTATTGTTGCAACAAACTTTTAAGCATTTTTTCGTAAAATACTAATTTTTCTTTTTCTTGGGCCACTAACCAAGCCGGAGCCCTTTCAACAAAGTTTTTATTAGCCAGTAATTTTTGGCTTCTTTGCTGCTCGGTTTGGTAAAATACGATTTTTTTTCTGTCTTCGGTGCGATTTTTAGGAACATTTAATTTTTCCACAGTTTTTAACACTCCAAAAGGATTTATGTCAAGGAGCGAGCAAGCCGCAATTTTTTCCGTGGGACTAACTAATTGAATTCGGCTTTTGGTTAAGGGAAAAAGAAACTGGTTAAAATCCAGTCGGGAGCAATATTTAGTTTGCCATTCTGGCATTAATTCAAAATAGAAAATTTTTTGCTCACGCTTATTACAAGACCGGATTTTCTTTATTAGCAAGAGGAGACAGTCTACTAATCATAAGTCATGGTTTTTTGTTTCATTGACCATCTCGATTTCGGCTAGTAATAATTTTTCTTGGGTGATTTTTTGATAAATGTATTCGGTAAGAAAGGGAATAGCAGGATGAAGTAATAAAAGTAATTGTTGATAAACAAAAAGCAGCGTGTTTTTGGTGTTTTCGCCTCAGGAAGATATTTTTACTAATTCTAAGTAATCATTACTTAATTTTTCCCGGGTAAATTTGATAAGTTGAGTAATTATTTTCCCGATTTCATATTTATTTTCTTTCATCAAAAACAGGTAATTTTTTTGACAAAGGGCTAACTCCTTTAAAATTCAATGGTTAAGTAAATTATTATTTTTAAAGTCTAGATTTTTTTTTTTAATTATTTTTAATTCTTTGGTTGGAATTTTTTGAGTTAGCAAGTTAGCAATACTCCAAAGTTTTTGGCAAAAACGTCAACTACCAACAATTTTACTTTCTTCATAAATTAAATCAGAACCTCAAACATTATTTTCGAGCAAAAAAAGCCGTAAACTATCGCAACCGTATTTGGTGATAATTTCTTCTGGTTCCACGCCGTTACCGAGCGATTTAGACATTTTTCTTCCTTGGCTATCACGGATTAAGCCGTGTAACAATACTTGCTGGAAGGGCACCCGACCAGTAAAATAAGTTCCCAGTAATATCATTTTTAATACTCAAAAAAAAATGATATCATAACCCGTAATCAGAGTAGTTATTGGATAGAATTTTGTCAACATGGAAGGAAATTGGTCATTTTCTTGAGCGAGAGCAATCAACGGTCATAAACCGCTGGAAAATCAGGTGTCTAAAACATCTTTTTCGGGTTCTCATTCTCATAAGGAGCATTTGTGTCTTATGCAAATAAGTTTTGGATTTCTTTTATATTCCTCTACGCAACCGCATTTGTCTAATTCTTCACCAACATAAATTTCTCCCGTTTTTTTATGATGCCAGGCCGGTATATGATGTCCTCATCATAATTGGCGGGAAATACACCATTCTCGGGCTTTAATTTTTCAATTTTCTAAGGTTTGGCGAAAAGACGCCGGAAGAAAATTAACTTTTTCCAAGCAATTGGGCTGCTTTTGCTCGATTTTTTTGATTAAATTTGGTAAGTCGAGAAACCATTGCTGGGAAAGCAAAGGTTCGACCACGGCTCCGGACTTGGTAGAATAAGCCAGATTGATAAGTCCTGAGACATTTTTTTTCAAAAAGAAGCCACAAAAGAATATTTTTTTCCTCTGCTGGGAAAATTG